ATAAAACTGATGCCTCACTTGTTTTGACGTTGGCAGGCCTCAATGGTGAAGTTGGTGAAACACGAACTGCGAGTTCAAACACTGGCAGTGGGCGATGGGGCAAATGATGTTAACATGATCCAATGTGCCGATGTAGGCGTGGGCATCAGCGGTCAGGAGGGCATGCAGGCAGCAATGGCTTCGGACTTCGCTATCACACAATTCGCCTTCCTGAAACGCCTCCTCCTAGTACATGGCCACTGGTGCTATGAGAAGCTGGCGCGCATGGCTCTCTATATGTTCTACAAGGACTCGGTACGTATCTCTACCCTTCCTTTCTTTTTTGCGTCTAAGTGTCCCCTGTAGAGGATGAGCGTGAACAGGTGCGCCGGTGGTCTGGTAATTTGAATGATGCGGTAACGTTGTACTATCCAAGTGGAGACTGAAGAACTCACGTTGCTAAATGTACTAGGGACTATTCCTTTATTTTACATCTAGAATTGTAACGTAGGTAAGCCTATTCGTACACTGTTTACTGGGGCAAAAAGTAACAGGACTAATGGGGACGCGCAGGCATCAGTGTACTGTGATGAACGAACTTTCCTGTCCACAAGAGCAAGAGCGTACAGTTTGAACCCGTGAATAATCTCCTCTGTTCTTATCTACTACGGATGACTTCAAGTACACTAAGTCAGTACGCGTTGAGGAAACACTCAGCTGCAGGGCGACCCTTGACTGAATGGTATCAAATTGTTGTCACCGACTGTCAATGATAATCCCAATCCTAGTAGTTCCCAGAGCACTAACGCAATAGCACCCACATGTGTGAATTAAACTTCAGGCAGCACGTAGAGTGGCTGCTGATACCTGAAACTCCTGTGGTGTGACGAAATTTTACACTAGGTAAACAACACATAATTCGGTCACTGGCTGATGCGTTCACTTTAGGCGGTTACCACATTCACGCATGCTTGAACGTACGCACGCTGGGTACTATGACAGTTGTCTGCTTTGAACCAACACAGGTGATGAGTGGTAGTAAAGCAGACTATTCTAACATAATGCAGGCTTAATGGCAAAGTTTTGCACACTAAAGCGGATTTGCTGGTTAGAGATGCATAATGCATTCTGCTAGCGTTTCTTCTCGATCACTCATTCAGTGCTATTCTAAGCTGTTCACAATAGGTATTATTTTTATGATAGATAAGTAACCTATAATACCTTATTGCTTTTTAAAGGTCTACATATTCTCGTTGTTTTGGTTTCAATTCTTCAACGGCTTCTCGGGCAGCGCACACATCGACCAACTGGCACAGGTGCTCTTCAATCTGACACTCACCAGCATACCACCATTCGTGTTGGGCGCTCTCGACAACTCCTTAGATGATCGAACCCTTATGGCCAATCCTAAACTTTACCGCAATGGACGCGATTCTATGGTGAGCTTTGAAGACCTCACAAGTCATGCAAGTCTGAAAGCATCCCCATTATCTGCTAATATCACAGATTCTGTGAGTTGGAACACCCCAAGTCCTACCGCATGGACAAATACCACGTTCGCATTACTGTGCCACTCAACACTGCCTGTGTTTACTTCCCTACTTCATTCATCGAGACATAGTTGTGTGTTCTTCCACCAACTACGATGAGATGGGAGTAAAAGTGGCACAAGACTTTGTCAATGTTGAGCAGATGTTAGCTTCCCGGAGCCTGACGTGTTTCCTCCCTTTCTGTCTATTCTCTCACCTACTCGAGTTCTCCGCATAGGCTATCAACGCGTGTAGGTGATTGGGCCATCACGTGTTGAAGGCAAATCAGTAGTAAGCAGTTCTTCAGGATCGGATGCAATGTGCTCGATTTCAATCTCTTTCCATCATCGGTCATGGTGTAGTTGACAAAGTCGAACCGGTTTCTATGGCTCTTCTGTTGCAAAATCACCGCAAATTCAACCATTCACAGTTGATGCGTACTCTCTGCTGCTGACGCCCTCTGCGATGGTGATCTTCGAAGTGAGGTCACATATTGCTGCCACGAGAGCAGCAATGCTAGATTCTTACCCAAAGATGTTATGGAACGCATCACGCTGGAAGCGGCTGTGTTACTGACTGGTGGAGGAACTGGAGGTTCATGCCGCATGAGCAGAGACCCATGTCACACTGGAATTAGAAGAGGCATGAGATGTAGTGTCATTTGGTTGGGTGGTGCACAATGGTGTCTTGCGCATGTCTTCATCTCCCCCCTACCGCCGAATGGTAAGCATCCCTTCTTGGGCATCTTGTTTCAGACCTACAAGGCGTGGCACTTTTGGGTCAACACCCTGGATGCAATGTGGCAATCTCTGGTGATTTTCTTCCTCCCCTGCCTCGTATTCATCGGCACCAGCGCTAGCATGAACGAACTCGGCACAACCTGCATGAATGCCCTCGTATTCACCTCCCTGCTGCATATCGCCCTGGAAACGAAATACTTTGTAAGCTGTTCATCGCAATCAGCAAGTTGGTGCTCGAGCACATGACAGTGTCAATTTCCTCTCGTGGGACTAACTAGTGGAAATAGTGCAAATGTAGGCGAGAATTGGTCTGCTTTGAGTGGAAGTGATGCGGACGGAATGCTAGCACATCAAAGTGGTGGTTGAAACCATGGAGACGGTGGGTTTTGTCAGAGCACAATTTGTGTGGTGAGAGGAAACACCACCTCTTACGTAGCCGACGTGGCACCCCATTAATCTGAGAATGCATTAGGGGGTGAGGAGAAGGGGTAGCGCTTCGTCGGTATAATGGGTGGTGCGAGCAGGACGTCATGTCATTAGCATAGTAGGTGGAGCGAACCCGGAGGAGGCGCACAAGTCTCGTTGAGTCGGTGGCACTGTGCAACGGGGCACACTTCATCAATGCATCAGTCCGTTGCATTGCCTGGATCTTAGGATCACGCTGATGTTATTGTTGAGTTAACGAAACGTGTGGATTACCCTAACACTGAGTCCACTCAATAGTGCGGCACCACATACAAAAGACGATGATTTAGAAAATGTGAAGGTCATGTGTTCGTGTAGCCTGTCCTCCTGTCTGTCTGTGCTCGGCTGTGGCTCCCTGAATTGATGTCTTTCAGTGACTGAGAAGGTGCAAGTAT